ATCGACAGTCCTTGGTGGTAATTTATCTCCAACTTTCCCTAGAACAGGTTCCCTCCCATATTCTTTTTTAATAGCTATACCATTCCTTACACTTCGACTACTTTCTCCTCATCTGTCTTAATCCAGCTCTCCTCACCCTCTTCCCCGTACTAGCATACTCTTCTTTTCTCACCTTAACCTATTTTCGCATGCCTGAGGGTTCTATACTGTTTGCTGGAGGGCTACTCGGAACTCCTGGTTAGCCTGTGACTGATCGGTTGGTGCTGCTTTCATCGACAGCAAACCGGATTGGCGTCCCTGCTCCGCGGCAGTACCATTACACCACGAAGAACTGATCAATCCACTGTCGTAGCGTTACGAGACACCCGTGGCCCGTAAACGCAAGAACCTGGAATACCTTACTGGTTCAAACCGCAAGTCCTTTGAACTGTCCTGTCCAGACCTGACCTGAATTTGTTTGTTCATTATGATGTACATGAACTGTTCAAGGTCTTCGTCACTTCAACTAGCTCAAGATGATGAACGGCTGCGACACAAAGGCTTTGACGCTTGATACAATCAACCCTCACGTCATTAAAATTGAATATGCTGTACGCGGGCCCATTGTACAGCGTGCATTACAAATAGAGGAAGAACTAAAAAAGGTGCGCCACAAATAACTCGGTCATTACTGTGCGAACCTTTCATTACAGGGGGCCAAAAAGAACTTCAATGAAGTCATTAAATGCAATATTGGGGACTGCCATGCGACAGGCCAACATCCTTTGACATTCTTCCGACAAGTTATGGCTTTATTGGCCTTCCCAGAACTGGCAAACGACGATCGGTTTCCGGATGACGTGAAGCAGCGGGCATTTCGTATACTCCACAGTTGTGGTGGAGGCAGCATCGGTAAGCAAAAGTTCAAGCCATGATCATGGCTTTCATTTTTGAAAATTGATTTTGAAAAATATCGCTATTTTCTTAAGGAAATACTTTAAAGTATTCATATTAATTAATGCAAATTTTTAGTAATTCATTTTCATAATAAACTGAGTACATTTTATTTTGTAATAAACACACTGCTATTATTGTACATCAATAACTGCAACGTTACAGTTAAATTGCATACTTCTCTTTTATAGGTTCTTATAGCAATTCTCTTGGAATACAGTGTATTAGAGAAGAAGTAGCAGCTTACATTGAACGGCGAGATGGGATTTCAGTTGACAGTAATAATGTGTTTCTGACAAGTGGAGCCACCGAGGCTATTAAGGTGAGCGTCTTCACTACTTTTTTGTTTGATTGTTTATGAATGATGGTTTATTTTTGGAGGCAAATACACTCACGTTATTAGTATCGTAAAATATTACTGCTGTATTGAGTAGTTGCATTTTTCCGAAAAGGGTTAGTGAACCTCATGCAGATGCGATTGCACATAAACCTGCAGAATAATCGACCTTCCAGAGTTGGTTTTGCAGGTACTACAGTAAATGATAATTTCAGGTATGATTTTCAGAACTTTCACTCTACCTTAAGGGGCTTGTCTAGTGGTTCATCAACATGACTGTCCTTGCTTATCAGACGGGGGCCAACTGCTTGGAAATATTTTCGCTGAGGTCATTTCTTATTTTTTATTACACATCTAAGTGTATTGAACACTAGACGGGGTGAACTCGAGTCATCATCATCATCATTGCACAGCGTAATACAGTGAAGCGAACTTCACTGATCGCTGCCAAACTCATACTGCATACAAGGAAAGTGACAATGTGTAAGAAGGATAGGGTTTGGACCTATTTTCAGGCACGGGAAAAGAAAGCGAACCTCTATGGATATAACAGAGTAAACAGTTCAGCTGAGCATACATACTTTTTCAAGCATTCTGATCTGATAAAAAGTGACAGCATGATCGCCATTGCTGTCGGTTCGCAGCCATGACCTTCAGTGTCTCCAACCATGTGGTTTCGGAGTCTTTTGGACCCCAACCCGGAAAACGAGAGACACCTACTCTACCTAATCGCNCTCCACGACATCTGCTGGCCTCCACGTGGCTTTCTCCAGCCTGTAACAGTCACTGCAAACAAGGTGCGCTGCGGTAGGCGGCCGTCGGACATACGCGAAATGTGTCCTAACCAACGGAGCCTATTGAGCTGGATTCAATGCGATAGCGAGTTCTTTTTTGATGTAATCCCAAACACCCAACTTCTAAGTCACTAACCCGCCCACTCCATCCAACTTGGGCCAGACTGCATAAGCATCGATTGCCGAACACTGCTAGACGACTTGAGTCTTCTACCCGAAAATTCAAAGTCTCAGCCGTAAAGTACGGTGGCGCAGTATACGCGACTTTTCAACTTTAGTGAAACGTCACGTCGCCGCCACAGGTGTTTCGGTCCTGCGTACGCTGCTGGAGCCCTGGAGATGGGGGTGGTTATCTCCTTTGATGCGCTACGGTCGTTGGTCACGCAGCTACCAAAGTCGGGAAGGAGTCAACTTCAACTAATTCCTGACCGTCTAGTTTCAGAACAGAGCTCGGCAACACCCAGTCTTGTAGCAGCACTTTGCACTTTAAAGGTGCAAAGCGCATGTCGAACGGAGCAACAGAACTTGCTAATATGTGAAGTGCTCTTTGTGCGTCATCCATACATTGGAACAAGCAAACGATGTCGTCAGCGTACTCCAAATGGCACAGCTTTTCTCCAGCTGACAATTCAATACCTACATCTTGGAGAGCACATAGTGTATTCTCCAGCACTTCGTATACGACGAAATTGAACAGAAATGGCGAAAGGGGGCACCCTTGAACACCGCTACTCAGCTCACCGTAGACCCTTACGCTACCAAAGGTATATGAGTGCAATGAACTCAGTATGTTCACATACTTCTGCGGCATTCCTTTGCGAAGGAGTGAACTCATACGGGATTCATGGTCAACTGAATCGAAGACTCCTTTTAGGTCAAGAAACACGATAACCGTTGGTCGACGGTGCGTATGGCGTAGCTCGAGGACTTGACGCAGAGTGAAGATTTGGTCGATACAACCTCGACCTGGTCGAAATCCTGCTTGTTGTTCGCGGATGTTTGTCTCCCTAAACGGCGTCAGACGTCGAAGTATAATGAAGGCTAGTAACTTGGTGACGATTGGGATCAAACTTAATCCACGGTGGTTTGCGCAGTCATTGCGAGATCCCATCTTAAAAATTGGGACGATCAATGATTCGTTCCAGGATGATGGAATGCGCTCACGTAACCAGATGTTACTCATTACATCAATAATGGAGTCTACAAGGTCATCGCCCTCCATCTTGAAAAGAGTGGGAGGAAGCCCGTCCGGTCTTGCTGCTTTTCCTTTCTTCAGGGTTTGGATGCAAGAACGAATTTCTGCTGCAATGAAAGGTTCAGATGACTGCCCACTGAGCCTCAGCTGCATCGGAGGAGATAGCCTGGTTAGCATCTGGCCAGCTGAACTGTTCGCTGAAGTACTCCGTCCATCGGTCAAGCCGTTGTTCCCTATTGTAAATAGCTTGCCCACTTTTGTCGCAGATTGTTTCACTAACTGTGGTTTGCCGACATCCCGTATTGCATATCAGTTGGAACAGTCTTTGGCTATTTTCTGATGCAGCTGCTACTTCCATTTCACGAGCTATCTTTGTCCACCAGTTCGCACGGTATATCTTGAGGTTCCTCTTGAGTTGACGTTGTAGACGTCACCTAACCCTGCCTTGATCCCGGGTGGTTGGAATTTGCCGCTTTTTCTCCATCAGTGCTACTGACTCATCAGATATCCAATGCCTCGGGCGGGCTACTGCCTCAGATCCACAAGCAACATTCGCTGCGGAGTGCATTGCTCGGCTAATCTGATCCCACTGTTCATCTAACTGTTCATTTACACTACCACCCCGCAGTGCGCTTAGCTCTTGCCCTAGTTCTGATTCAAAACGAGCACGGATGGCTGGGTCAGATAAGCGATCATCTTCCAATCGAGTTTGGTGAGATTTTCTGTAACCAGTGAGTTGGAGAGTGAACTGCATAAAACTAACGCATGATCAGATTCAACGCAGGTGGTCCAATAGGACCTGCAGTTTTGTACTGAGCCACGCCAACGCTGGCTTCCTGCTAT